GAGATTAAGCTTCCCTCTGCGTGCGGGGAACATGGCGGATCGTCTCCACGCAACTGCAAGACGCGGTGAACTCGGTAAGGGTTTCATTCGATTAGCTCTCTGCTTTCTGTCTCCTGAGGTAAAGCGAGGAGGAAGGGTCCGAGAGACAAAGCGTCCGGACGTGGGAGCGGACGGAGGCAGGGCTTCAGCAAACAGCGCTCGCTCTACGAGGCGGAAGGCGCCTCGGTGGAATGGAGGTCGTGATGCGTGCGGCGCGCGGGGCTGCGGGAGGGAGCAGCTTTTTGACGCGAGGAGACGCGGACGAGCTTCTCGGTCCGCCCGACGCGCCACCGAGACCTCGCCTTCAGTTTCCTCCGTGTTCTCCTGGGAGCTGTTGTTATTTCCTTGTCAGGGATGCTGTGGGATCTCTGCTCTTTCGGGGGATCGTGAAGCAGGAGCTTTCTTTTCCTTTTTTCATTTTTTCTTCCGTTAACCGGTTTTAACCCGCTGAGAGGATCGTCGAGAGGTCTGAATTGATTCGATTTTCGTCGAAATTCAATTAAATTTTAGCGGGGAGTATTGTTCCCTCACCGCACTGTCCAGGTTGGCGCGGAGCGAGGTGAGGTCGCGAAGTGTTATTTCTTGATCTCAGCTCGTGCCTGCGGACCGGCGAGGGTCTCCTTCCATCCCTGGCCGCTCCACAGCGTGCATCAGTTTGGGGACAACTGACCGTCTTTATGATAAGCGAATCTTCTAATGCCTCCTGGTTCTTTCCATTTATGTTGAGTCTTTAATGTCTCCTGCAGAAAGTTACCTTTATTAATGGTCAGGTCTGTAATTTCTCTTAAATTATCCGTCTTGGTTATTACTTTTCCTACATACTGTGCCTGAGTGACAAGTATATGCAAGCCAAAAGATACGTGTATTATACACAGTCGTGGTCCCCGTAAGGAAGGGGATGTGGTTCTGCGAAATGCCTGGTTTGTGATTTCGTCTTTCGTGCGTAATTAATAACTTCATAGCATGTACCTGTGCAAACCTAGAGGTCCAGCTACTGACACCTAGGGCCGGGTGGTAATAGCTGTTGCTCCTAGGCTAAAAGCCTGTGCAGCGTGTGTACTGCACGGAATACTGTAAGGCATGCCAACAAAGTATCACCTCCTCCCCGTATGTATGGAAGGGTAATGTTGACAGGGGGAAACATGTAACAGAAGGAATGGCTTGAAAAAAAAAAAATGGTAGAATGTTTTAATGTCTCGTTAAATATCCCGACTCCCTTTGAGAACTAGGACTTGCATCCCTGCCTCAGGCCAGTGGTGGGAAGGGAATGTCTTTTTTCTTTGTGCCACAGGAGATGGTTCGAGGGAATTGTCAGGGTGGAGGTTGCCTTAGCCCAAAGTGGGAATTAATCTGAAAATGGGCTTACTCCGAATGGAGGTCAGAGATTGTTTTAACTAAAGATGGGATGAATCCAAAGCGGAGGTCCATGAGATTTTTCTTAGCAAAGATGAGATTGATCAGACCTTTCATAGCTCGATACTTCGCACAGAAGGAGAACAATGGCATTTCGACGGGTAGTCCTCACATCCTCTCATTTGGCCAGCAAATTGGTAAGCTTCTTTTCCTTCTCTCTAAGGAGAAACTTGTCCTATTTCTTCTGAGTAGCACAGAGGACAGTGCTGAGCTTTGGTAACAGCAGCTTGTAACACCAGTGGTTCTGTGTATCTAAACATAGAAAGATAAAGTAAAATACATGACATACAAGATTTTTAAAGATACACATGTACAGTGCACTTACATGAATAGCTCTTGCATGGGCTGCGAAGTTTTCTGGGTGAGTCCAGATGAGTGGTGAGTGAATGTGAAGGTTCGATCATTACTGTGCACTGCTGTAGACTTTATAAACACTGTACATTTAGGCTAATTCCAAATTTTAAAACATTTTTTGTGTGTGTCTTCAAGGATAAATTAAGCTTAGTTTACTGGACTTTTACTTTATAAATTAAATTTTTAAAAACTTTTTGAACTTTTATTGTTAAAAACTAAGACACAATTAGTGTAATCCTACATTGGGTTCAAGATGATCAGTATTGCTTTCTGCACCTCCTACATCTGTTGCCCATGGAAGATCTTTAGGGTATAACACACATGGACCTGTCATTTCCTATGATAACTCCTGAAGGATCTGCCTGAGATATTTACCTTTTTCCTACATTAGTCTCTGTATACTTGAAGAGTTTGACGTCTACTTGTGAAAACTGATCTACTATGTGAATAAGCATAGGAGCTTTTAAGGCTGAGAGGACTACCCCCTAAATGTTGATGTATTCAGCAAGATAAATTCTACTTTGCAGAGACTTGCTTGGCTGCAGCCAACCTCCCTCAGGACGAGTACTCTTACGATTTTAATAAAAACGTCATGCTGCTGGGATAGAAACATTGTTAGGGAAATGTTCATATTCATAATGTCTTGTAACTAGAAGGATAGTAAAGACAAAGAAATATAGCCTAACTCCAAGGTAGGTATGCAGGGAATTAAGATTTTGGAGAGAAGCATTTAGGGCTTTACCAAATGAGTGCCTGCTGTGTATGCAGCACTATCATGTTTTTACAAAGAGTGCTCCTTAAGACATTAAAGAGTGGTCATATACTGCAGGAGATATTTAAATGGTACAAAAACAATATGTCATTAGGAGTTACAATCAAGTGTTTTGTAGCTATAAGGCTGCTGAAGTAATGGAATCATAGAATATGGAGCCCAAAATGGAATCTCCTTAGCATTTAGCCTAATCATAATTAATTTTTATAAATGTTAACATTTGTTTATTAACAATGTTTATTTTGTTATTAATATTAATGTTATTAACATGCTATTCAACCTTTGAAAACTGAATAAAGAAGCTATGTCACATTCACTGTAATCACTATAATGTGTATAGATACAATGTGTCATGGAGTTGATTTTCGATAAGATATTTGTTGAATGGATCTTGAAGCTTTGAAGATAGAACAGCCACTTGTGTGGAATATTTTTTTACATGCTGTACTTTATTCCTCACAACACATATTGTGATATGAGATGTTCCCAATTTAAATGAAAACAGCTAATCAGATTAATAAAACCAGGATTAGGATTGGTTTTGTATATCTTCTGAGCACCTTACTGCTCATTACAATTAGCAAAACATAAAGAAAGCCCATCAGTTTAGTCATACAAGTGAAGATACTAGAATAGACTTAGATTATTGAAAACTGAAACTCCTGAGTTGGAGGATTTATTTTGAAGTACTATGGTGAGTGAGCTCAAATATTTTGAGCAGGGTGAAAATAACGATGGTGAACAAGAAAAACAGAAGAAAGCTATTGTAGTAATTCTGGTTGAGATAGTTGGTTGAACTAAGGCCACAAGCAATAATGATAGAAGGAGAAGAGAAAGATTGTAGTATTAGCAGGATTTTGAAGATGAAAGTAAGAGAATAATTGGTTGAACTAAGGCAACAGCAATAATGATAGAAGAGAAGAAAGAAAGATTTGTGTTTAGCAGGATTTTGAAGATGAAAGTAAGAATGTGGAAGCTAAACTCGGTTGATTGGGAAGACAGCCTGTGTGACTCTCCATACAAATTAGAATAGATATTAAACAGGAAATAGTTAACTTTGAGTTTTCTCCATTGAAATAATGGCAGAGAAACTCACCTGGAAGTGCTTATTCACTGATAGGAAATAAGGGAATTGAGGTTTGAAGGTCAAGACTAGCAAGAGAAGTTGGTAGGGAAGGATAGAAGCATTTAGTTTAGGAGATGGTAAGGAATTGGTATTCTCATCTTAAAACTGCCTTAAGAAATACTTTCAGGATACGGGAGTTTACAGATTGAGTCTTGGAGAAATACATTTTCTGATTATTTACTGCCTCTCCAACAGTATTTTTCTACTTATCTTTGCACTTTTAAATATACTACTGCAATCTCAGCAAAAGTAATAAATACGCTGCATGAATAATACATTTTTAGTGAAACTTAGGGCACTTACAATTCTATTATCCTTCCCTAGAAGAAAAGTTTATTTTGTATTTTTTCAACTGTTTTTACTTGATTAACTCAAATTTAACTCATCCTGATTGATATCAACTTTTTTTGAAGGATTAACCTTTAATCAGGCCGCGGCGCGTGCTCACGCCTGCTAATCTAGCACTTTGGGAGGCCGAGGCGGGCGATTGCTCAAGGTCAGGGATTTCGAACCAGCCTGAGCGAGCACCCCGTCTCTACCAACAAATAGAAATAAATTAATGTGACCAACTAAGAATATATATACACAATTAAGCCGGCATGGTGGCGCATGCTTGTAGTCCCAGCTACTCGGGAGCTGAGGCAGTAGGATCGCTGAGGCCCGGAGATTGAGTTGCTGTGAGCAGGCTGACGCCATGGCATCACTTCTAGCCTGGGCAACAAAGTGAGACTCTGTCTCAAAAAAAAAAAAAAAACATTTAATCATTGTTATTAATAACTGGCTATCTTATCAATAATTATTCCTTTTCTGTTTTAATCCTCTGCCTAGAGATTTCTGTAGAAACTTGTTGTCATTACCAATGAAGTCCTTCAAAAGTTAATAAATTATTCTAACCTGACATGTTTTCTTGTGGCCCAAGCTTGCAGATCAGTTTTGTATGCCATTGGAGTGCTGCAGCAGATGTGGTCCCCCTGCTCTTTTTAATAACATTCAGACAGCAATTAACAAAGACCCAACCAGCCAATCCTACAAAGCGTAAATCAGCAGTTTTTCTTGGTTCCTCTAAGTTTGACTTTATATTTCTTCCAGCTAATTTTTTCTATATATATTTTTAGTTGGTCAATTAATTTCTTTCTATTTTTAGTAGAGATGGGGTCTCACTCAGGCTGGTTTCGAACTCTGGACCTCGAGCAATCCACCCGCCTCAGCCTCCAGAGTGCTAGGATTACAGGCGTGAGCCACCGCGCCCGGCCCAGAAAACTTCACATAACTTTTTCTGAACTAAGATTCTAATGATTTTAATCTAATCTAATTCTAATCATGAGAATCATTGAGTTAATGTGTAATTTTAACACATCAATCCTACTGCACATTTAGCTCCAACTGGGAATTAAGCATAATGTATTTTTTCTCATTTATTAGGACAATATGGTGGTCACTTAAAGAAATCTGTAAATGGTATGCTTTTCTTATTAAGGTCCTTCAAGTAAAATTCAGCTAAATTTATACAAATTCTCTTCAAAAGGAGCAATAATCTTAACCTTAACATTTGTACCCATATATTTTTTATTTTATTTTATTTTTTTTATTTTTTTTTTAGACACCAGCTGCAGTACAAGTGTACCCATATATTAAAAAAAAGAGTAGAAATTTAAACAATTATTAAAAAAGGATCAATAATCTGTTATTTGACATGAAGAGAACTATGAGATATGAATTTACTGTGATGCATTCATTTCTTTTATAACAAAACTTGCAGTAACATCCTCCAATAACATTTTTAGAAAAAGCCCACAAATAAGTTAAATTTCTCAATAAATCTAATTTTAAAGTATTACAAGAAATATAAGAGTCAAACTTAAGAGAACCAAAGAAAACTTATTTACCTTCTGTAGGATTGGCTGGTTGGTCTTTGTTAATTGCTGTCTGAATGTTATTAAAAGAGGCAGGGGGACCACATTGCTGCAGCACTCCAATGGCATTACAAAACTGATCTGCAAGCTTGGGCCAAAGAAAACATGTCAAGGTTAGAAATAATTTATAACTTTTAAGGACTTCATTGGTAATGACAACAAGTTTCTACAGAAATCTCTAGGCAGAGGATTAAAACAGAAAGAATAATTATTGATAAGATAGCCAGTTATTAATAACAATGATTAAATGTTTTTTTTTTTTTTTTGAGACAGAGTCTACTTTGTTGCCAGGCCTAGAGTGATGCCATGGGCCAGTGCCTGTCACAGCAACCTCAATCTCGCGGCCTCAAGCGATCCTACTGCCTCAGCCTCCCGAGTAAGCTGGGCTACAAGCATGCGCACCATGCCGGCTTAATTTGTGCATAATATATTCTTAGTTGGTCAATTAATTATTTCTATTTTGCGTAGAGACGTGGGTGCTCGCTCGGCTGGTTCGAACTCCGACCTTGAGCAATCGCCCGCCTCGGTCCTCCCAATAGTGCTAGGATTGCAGGCGCTGAGCACGCCGTTCCGGCCTGATTAAATGTGTTAATCCTTCAAAAATAAGTTTGATATCAATCAGGATGAAGTTAAATTTGATGTTAATCAAGTAAAAACAGTGAAAAATACAAAATAAACTTCTTCTGAAGGTAATAGAATTGTAAGTGGCCTAAGTTTCATAAAAATGTATTATTCATGCAGGCGTATATTGATTACTTTTCTGAGATGCAGTAGTTATTTAAAGTGCAAAGATATAGTAGGAAAAATACTGTTGGAGAAGGCACCCTAAATAATCAGAAATGTATTCTCCAAGACTCAATCTGTAAACTCCTGGTATCTAAAGTATTCCTTAAGCAGTTTTAAGATGAGAATACCAATTCCTTACCATCTCTAAATAAATGCTTCTATCTTCTACCAACTTCTCTTGCTAGTCTTGACCTCTCAAACCTCAATTCCTATTTCCTATCAGTGAATAAGCACTTCCAGTGAGTTTCTCTGCCATTATTTCAATGAGAAAACTCAAAGTTAACTATTTCCTGTTTAATATCTATCTAATTTGTATGGAGAGTCAACCAGGCTGGTCTTCCCAATCAACCAGTTTAGCTTCACATTCTTACTTTCATCTTCAAATCCTGCTAATACTACAAATCTTTCTCTTCTCCTTCTATCATTATTGCTGTTGCCTTAGTTCAACCAATTATCTCTTACTTTCATCTTCAAATCCTGCTAATACTACAAATCTTTCTCTTCTCCTTCTATCATTATTGCTGCTGCCTTAGTTCAACCAACTATCTCACACCAGAATTACTACAATAGCTTTCTTTCTGTTTTCTTGTTCACCATGTTATTTTCACCCTGCTCAAAATATTTGAGCTCACTCCACCATAGTCTTCAAAATAAATCTCCAACTCAGGATGTTTCAGTTTTCAATAATCTAAGTCTATTCTAGTTATTCTTCACTTATGACTAAATGGCTTTGCTTATGTTTTGCTAATTGTAATGGAGCAGTAAGTGCTCAGAAGATATACAAACCTAGATCCTAATCCTGGTTTTATTAATCTGATTAGCTGTTTTCATTTTTAAATTGGGAACATTCTCATATCACAATGTTGTTGTGAGGAATAAAGTACATGCATGTAAAAAAATATTCCACACAGTGGCTGTTCTATCCTTCAAAAGCTTTCAAGATCCATTCAACAAATATTTATCGAAAATCAACTCCATGACACATTGTATTATACCACATTATAGTGATACAGTGAATGTGACATAGCTTCTTTATTCAGTTTTCAAAGGTTTAATAGCATGTTAATAACATTAATATTAATTAACATATATAAACATTGTTAATAACAAATGTTAACAGTTATATAAAAATTAATTATGATTAGGCTAAATGCTAAGGAGATTCCATTTTGGCTCCATCATTCTATATTCCAATTTACTTCAGCACTTATAGCTACAAACACTTGATTGTAACTCCCTAATGACATATTGTTTTTGTACCATTTAAATATCTCCTGAGTATATGACATCTCTTTAATGTCCTTAAGGAGCAGCTCTTTGTAAAAACATGATAGTGCTTGCATACACAGCAGGCACTCATATTGGTTAACCTAAAGGCTTCTCTCCAAAATCTAATTCTCCACAGCATACCTACCTTGGAGTTAGGGCTATATTTTCTTTGTCTTTACTATCCTTCTAGTTACAAGACATGTATGAATATGCAACATTTTCCCTAAAATGTTTCTATCCAGCAGCATGACAGTTTTTTATAAAATCTTAAGAGTATCTCCCTGAGGGAGGTTGGCTGGCAGCCAAGGCAAGTCTCTGCAAAGTAGAATTTATCTTGCTGAATACATCAACATTTAGGGGGTAGTCCTCTCAGCCTTAAAAGCTCCTATGTTATTCACATAGTAGATCAGTTTTTCACAAGTAGACTCAAACTCTTCAAGTATACAAAGACTAATGTAGTAAAAAGGTAAAACAGCCTCAGGCAGATCCTTCAGGAGTTATAGGAAATGACAGGTCCATGTGTGTTATTACCCCTAAAGATCTTCCAGGGCAACAAGATGTAGAGGTGGAAGAAAGTGATACTGATAATCTTGACCCCATGTAGGATTACACTAATGTGTGTTTCTTAGTTTTTAGCAAAAAAGTTCAAAAAGTTTTTTAAAAAATTTAAATATTATAAAGTAAAAAAGTTTCAGTAAACTAAGCTTAATTTATTCTTGAAGACACACACAAAAAAATGTTTTATAAATTTAATGTAGCCTAAATGTACAGTGTTTATAAAGTCTACAGCAGTGCACAGTAATGATCGAAGCCTTCACATTCACTCACCACTCACTGACTCACCCAGAATAACTTCCAGCCCTGCAAGAGCTATTCATGTAAGTGCACTGTACAGGTGTATCTTTTAAAAATCTTTTATGTCATGTTTTTACTGTATCTTTTCTATGTTTAGATACACAGATACCACTGTGTTACAACTACTGTTACCAAAAGCTCAGCACTTGTCCTCTGTGCTACATCAGAAGAAATAGGACAAGTTCTTCTCCTTAGAGGAGAAAGAAAGAGAAGCTTACCAATTTGCTGGCCAAATGAGGAGGATGGAGACTACCGTCTGAAATGCCATTGTTCTCCTTCTGTGCGGAAGTATCGAGCTATGAAAGGTTCTGATCAATCTCATCTTTGGCTAAGAAAAATCTCATGACCTCCGCTTTGGGATTCATCCCATCTTTAGTTAAAACAATCTCTGGACCTCCATTCGGAGTAAGCCCATTTTCAGATTAATCCCATTTGGGGCTAAGGCAACCTCCACCCTGACAATTCCCTCGAACCATCTCCTGTGGCACAAAGAACAAAAGACATTCCCTTCCCACCACTGGCCTGAGGCAGGGATGCAAGTCCTAGTTCTCCAAAGGGAGTCGGGGATATTTTAAAGAGACATAAAACATTCCTACCATTTTTTTTTTTTTCAAGCCATTCCTTCTGTTACATGTTTCCCCCTGTCAACATTACCCTTCCATACATACGGGAGGAGGGGTGACTACTTTGTTGCACTGCCTACAGTATTCCGTGCAGTAACACGCTGCACAGGCTTGTAGCCTAGGAGCAACAGGCGATACCACCCGGCCTAGGTGTGCAGTAGGCTGGACCATCTAGGTTTGCACAGGTGCATGCTATGAATATCGCACAAAGACGAAATCCACAAACCAGGCATTTCGCAGAACACATCCCCTTCCTTACGGGGACCACGACTGTGTATATATACACGTATCTTTTGGCTTGCATATACTTTCCACTCAGGCACAGTATGTAGGAAAAGAATAACCAAGACGGATACATTTAAGGGAGCAAATTACAAGACCTGACCATTAATAAAGGGTAGACTTTCTCAGAGACATTAAAGACTCAAATAAATGGAAAGATACAGGAGGCATTAGAAGATTCGCTATCATAAAGACGTCAGTTGTCCCCAAACGGATGCACGCTGTGGAGCGGCCCAGGGATGGAAGGAGACCCTCGCGGTCCGCAGGCACGAGCTGAGATCAAAAATAACACTTCGCACCTCACCCTCGCTCCCGCGCCAACCTGACAGTGCCGGTGAGGGAATAATACTCCCCGCTAAAATTTAATTACGAAAATCGAATCAATTCAGACCTCTCGAGATCCTCTCAGCGGGTTAAAACCGGTTAAGGGAAGAAAAGAAAAAAGGAAAGAAAAGCTCCTGCTTCACATCCCCCGAAAGAGCAGAGATCCCACAGCATCCCTGACAAGGAAATAAAACAGCTCCCAGAGAACACGAGAGAAACGTGAAGGCGAGGGGTCTCGGTGGCGCGTCGGGGGACGAGAAGTCGTCCGCGTCTCCTCGCGTCAAAAGAGGCTGCTCCCTCCCGCAGCCCCCGCGCGCCGGGCAGCCGGCCTCAGACCTCCGACTTCACCGAGGCGCCTTCCGCCTCCGTGAGGCGAGCGCTGTTTGCTGAAGCCCTGCCTCCGTCCGCTCCCCACGTCCGGACGTTTGTCTCTCGGACCCCTTTCCTCCCTCGCTTTACCTCAGGAGACAGAAAGGCAGAGAGGCTAATCGAATGAAACCCCTTACCGAGTTCACCGCGTCTTGCAGTTGCGTGAGACGATCCGCCATGTTCTTCCCGCACGCAGAGGGGAAGCTAACGCAGCTGCTCGTGCGCGATTGGGCAGCGCTAGGAGACGTCCCGGCCAATCGCCGGGCGACGTCCTTAAATACTAGAAAATTTGGGTGGGGCCAGGGCGGGCGGGCTCCCCGCCCGGCGCGGAGGGGGTGGGGCTTCCCTGAGGCTGAGCTTTATTTAGCTGACTGGACCCGGGCGAAGGCCAACTCTTTTGAGTAGCTGCAGCAGTTACAGTCCCGCGTCTGCTCGCTTTTGGGGGAGGGGCTTAAATAGTCTTGAAGTTGTTAGGTGTTAAACGCTTTACAGAGACTGTTGGATTCTACGGAGTTTTTTTTTTTTTCAGTGATTTCTCCTACCTGGTCATGTGTTCCTTTTTTTAACAGCACCTTGATCACTTTCCGTTGCTTCTGCTTTCCTTAGGTGGACCTCAAAACACGTACCAGCAAGCGAACTCGCACACACTCGGGAGTCACAACATCGACTTTAAATTCCACAAGATCCAGTTGAAATCCACCAGACAATGAGGCAGGGCTGGGTTAGGGTGCGTCGGCTGTCGCCCCTGGGCCGCCCCTGGGCGCGGGGTCGGGGTGGGCGTCGCTCACCCCAGGGGAGACCGCGCGCCTTCATTCTGAGGGTGGGTGTGTCCCCGGGAAGCTGGCACGAGAAATGGAGCAGTTAAGTGCTAACCCGGGCTGTGCGGGCTGTATGTGGTGAAAGAAGGAAGCGGGCAAAAGCGGGAGGAGGAAGGAGAGCATTCGGAGCTAAGCAGGTGAGGGCGTGAGAGCAGGTGACTAACAAGAACCCCGTGTGAGAGACAGGGGAGGGGTTGGTGGGGAGGAGTGTCCCAGTGTACGGTCGGAAGAGAAGCGGTTCCGGGAAATAGGCGAGGTGCGCGGGGAGGGCGGGTTCGATTCTAAGAAAGATCAGCCGCCCTATGTCGATTTAGAGTTGGGACCTACTTGAGAGTTTAAACGTGAAGAGCGACAGTAGACACTTGGTATTCAAGGAAAGTTGGCCTGGGGACAGTCTGGTAAAGAAGAAATGAGCCTGGGGCCAGGCGCGGTGGGTGGCTCACGCCTGAGATCCCAGCGCTCAGGGAGGTGGAGAGGGGAGGATCGCTGGAGGTTAGGAGTTCGAGACCAACCTGAGGAATGAGCGAGACCCGGCCCTACTAAAAATAGAAACAATTGTCCGGGTGTGGTGGTGCACACAGTAGCTGTAGTCCCAGCTACTTCGGGAGGCTGAGGCAGGAGGATCACTTGAGCCCGGGAAGTTTGAGGTTGCTGTGAGCTACGGGCTGACGCCACGGCACTCTAGCTCCGGCAACAGAGTGAGACTCTGGAAAAAAAAAAAAAAAGAAGAAGAAATAAATGAGTTTGGAATCAGCAAATGACTGGTTTGTGAGGTTGGAACAAACATTTTTTTTTTAAACGGAGTCTCTCTGTTGCCCAGGCTAGAGTGCAGTGATATCATCATAGCTCACTGCAGCCTGTGGAACAACCTCTTTTACCCTCTTTCACACGCTGATTATCCCCGATTGCTTTCTTGGTGTGGAGCTCAGTTTGTCGGGTTTATCCTAACCCTTGCTGGGAAGCTCCATTTCTGCTTCACACCCATCCCCCACCCCATCCCCAAACAATCTGCACACCTACTGGAGCCTAATTAGAAGGCAGGTGGGGCACCTCCCTTCATCATGGGATTAATGAGTGATGACTCTAATTTGTTTTAACTCTCATTTAGGGGTAATCTGCAACCTTCTCTTCCCACCTACAGTTGAGAATGTACCGTGTGCCAGGAAGTACATCAGGAGCTAGATTTGTAAAGATGAATAAGCCCAGGACTCAGTAAAAGGAGGGTTTTGCAGATGTCCAAGAGTGAGAAGAGCTGGGCCTAGAATAGGGTGTGGACCAGAGAGGAAGGAAAAACTAAACCACTTTTGAAGAAAAAATTAATATAGATGGTTGACTGATTGGATAGAGCTTGGCCCACTAAATAAGAATACTAAGCCTGTTTGAAGAGTACTTGGGCGCCTAGAGTAGAGGAATCACTTTAAGACAACTCATAATATGGCTCAGCTTTTGTCCTGTCATTATGTTCCTCACAGGTCTTCAGTGGTTCCACACAGACCTCAGGTTGATGTCCAGCCATCTCTGCCTGTTTGTTTTGGTTTTGGTTTTTGGACAGGTTCTTGCTTTGTTGCCTGTGGCTACAGTGCAGTGACATCATAGCTCACTGCAACTTCTAACTTCTGGGCTCCAGTGATCCTCCTGCTTCAGCCTCCTAGAGTAGGTAGCTGGCACTACGGGAGTGCACCACCACACACCCAGGTAATTTATTTTTTTGTAGAGACAAGAGTCTTGCTTTCTTGGTCTGGCTGGTCCCCGACTCCTGATCTCAAGCAGTCCTCCTGCCTTGGGCCCCCAAAATGCTGGAATTGCAGCCTCGAGCCACCTCACCCAGTCTGAATAATTTTTTTTTCTTTAACACCTGTTCATATTATGGTCATTGCTACAGATTGTTAGCTTAATAGTGGATGGACTGAACATGTAATTTCCAAGCTATTGTTCATTACAATGAATAAATTAAAAATTTAAACAGGAAAGGAAAGCAGGAAAATTTTCCCCAAATAACTTTGAATCTACAACTCTAATTCCACGATTATCTGACAAGCCGTCTCTCACATGAACTACTGTCTCTTGAACAGCATTCAGGTATGAGATTTGAGAGAGGAAGTTCAGATTCAAGCTGTAAGTCTTCAAAGATATTTAGCCTAGAGAAAACAAAACTTTATTTTTAAATGTGGTGCTTATCACTAGCTCAGTAACCACTACAGATACAACATCTTTCCAGCATTTTTATAGTGACATCAACCTTAGCTGCTAAGGCAACTGCTACAGGTCCCGGGGGGGACTGGTGGGGGGGGTGTTGAGAAGAGAACCTGCAGCCTTTCTTTCTTTTTATAACATGACACCGTGATTCAAAGGTTCAAGGCAGCACAGAGTCTTCTAAGAAAAGGATCCTGAGTTTCATCCAGCTGGTCCTGACACTCTAGGTGAGAAGCTGGGCTGCTTTCTTCCTGTCTGAACCTAATTTTTTTTTTTTGAGACAAGATCTTGCTCTGTCACCCAGGCTAGGGTGCAGTGGCCTGATCATACCTGCAACTCCTGGCCTCAAATGATCCTCCCACCTCAGCCTCTTGAGTAGCTAGGACTACAGGTGCGTTCCACCATGCCTGACCTGGACCTAGTCTTTTTTTTTTGAGACAGAGGCTCTGTGGCCCTGAGTAGAGTGCAGTGGCATCATCATAGCTCACTGCAACTTCAAACTCTTGGGCTCAAGTGATCTTCCTGCCTCAGCTTGTCAAGTAGCTGGGACTACAGGAGCTCACCATTGAGCCCAGCTAATTTTTCTATTTTTCGTAGAGACAGAGGTCTCACTCTTGCTCAGGCTGGTCTTGAACTCCTGACCTCAAGAGATCATCCCACCTCTGCCTCCCAGAGTGGTAGGATTACAGGCCTGAGCCACCATGCCCAGCCCTCAACCTAATCTTAATCTGATTTTGTGCCTTCCCCTAATTGCCTGATGGGCCATAGATCTTCCATCAACCTCCTGTCCCTGACCAGGATAGTCAAAGATAAACAAAGATACATCCCAAAGCTGGCAGTGGGCAATGTGGAAAAGGAGTTCTAAGCCCATCACCATACTTACCCTGTTCTTGGGCTGCCCAAGCCATCCTCAGAGGGAAGGCCCTGGGTTTCTGATGGGAGCAAAGGGAGTGATGTAGAGTTCCTCACTCCAGTGTAGAAGGTACACGGCCATGTGGTGCCAGTGACAGGAGCTCCTCTTACTGTTAGGCTCCTGGAGGCGTTTGGCCACAACAAAAAGTTATTTTGCACTATAACGGTGGTTTTCATAAGAGGAACTTCTGGGGGCTCCCGGGAGCGCCGCGGGCTGCGAGCCCCTCGCGTGCCAGGAGGAGGCGCGCGCTGCCTGGGAACGCCCCCAGCGCCGCCGCCCGGGAACCCGCCGCGGTGACGCACGGAGGGGCACGGTAGGAGGCGCGGGTGAGCGCGCCCGGGGTTAAGGGTTCCAAAAGGAAACCTCTCGCTGGAGTGAAGGATTGCTGCGGGCCGCTCGCCCGCGACTGCGGGGCTGGCAGGTGCGAAGCGTCTGCACCTGGCGGACGATGGCGCCGGGCGCGAGCGCCCCGGGCTAGCGCGGGCGAGGCTGCTGGGCCCCGGAGCGCACGCCCGCCCCCCTCCCCGACCTTGGCGTTGGCCCAGCCCTGCCCGGGCAGCTATGGAGCTCCTGCGGCTGCTGGTCCTGGCGGTGCTGGCATCGGAACGCAGGGTGGCTGGTGGAGCCGAGGTCTTCGGGAACTCCAGCGAGGGTAAGGTCGGAGGCGCCTCGCTTCTGCACGTTGCTTTTGCATTTCTTGCAAGGTCAGAATTCATTCGGCTTCTATCCACCTAGCAGGAGTTGTGGTGCAGGGGCATTGCTGCACGCTGGGTGGAGAGTTCGGAACCGACAGGAATGGACCAGACTTCTTTTCTACAGTGGATACTCCCATTGCTAAGGAGGCCTTACTGTCAAACTCTTAATTTAGGCTGGGGAAATGGGAAGAGATAAGTAACTGTCTTTTTCGGACGCACTGTTATCTCCCTTAGGAAGCAGCCATGTTTGTGGCCTTAATTTAACACACTAAAGCGCTGCTCCTTTACTCCCTGGTGGACTGTCAGCTTCTGGACAGCGAGACTTGGCGGGGAATTTAGGGCTTTATGATTGGTGGCCCTTCAAGCTGCATCAAGCGTTTACACTCCAATATCCAACATCCATAATCAAATTGGTTATGTTCTGCAGAGTTTGGGAGGAAAAATGAACCCAGAATGGGACTTAAAAAAAAAAAAAAGAGCCTTATATGATCTAATCTGTTAAAGCCATTTAGAGATAGGAAAACATTCCACACTCACAGTGAGAGATAAAGGACACTGTATTACAGATACATAGACATATAGAGAGCCAGTGTATACGCGCAATTCTACAATTTCAGCCACAAATGAAAAATAGAAACACAAACATTTACTAGTCCCGATATCAAAGAGTTGTTCTCCTTGTGGTTGAGAAATTCCTAATGAATTTGAGCTCGAAATAGACAAATGGACAAAGACTAACAAACTGTATTCTCCATTGTCTCTCACCCAACAGGGAATAGATCTCTATAAGACATTAATTCATTTACAGAGATCACCAAATTTTCAGTCATTGCAGCTACCAACAGACAATAGCTTGTCATCTGTAGAGGAACTAAAAAGAAAAACAATGGAGAATAAAACTAAAATTAGAAAACCAAGAATCAACAAAGTTCTGTTGCCACTTCATATCCACCTGTAGGAATCAAGAAAAAACATGTCTGGGCTTGGCTTCCTCTGAGGTACACCATTTCTGATGATTTTAGGTGACTCTTGCTCATCTTCCTGGGAACTCAGAATGGGACTTTGTATTGTAGGTCTTGTGCTTGGTGAATGGGTTTTAGTAACAGCTGCTGGTTTGTTAATATAAAATGTACACAGCACTAATCATGTGCTTTTCCGTGAAACTAAGCACATTCTCAGTTTCGTTTTGAGCTTAAGAGACTAGTTGCAGTTCAGAAACATAATATTTTCTGAATAATGTGATTGTGTGTCTATGTCCTTAGCTTTGAAAGACCCTTTTACAAACTGAATTCTAGGGTCTTTGCATAGGACTAAGGCTAAACTAAAAAGGGCAATTATATTTTTTGCAGAAAAACCTTGTTTGTAATAGGGCACTAATATTTACTGTGTGCAGTATGTGCCAGGCACTTTCCATGTGCTGTGTTATTTAATTCTCACATCTTTAATGATACATAATGATCATCCTCACTTGGCACAGGATGAAGCTGAGGCCTAGGACACTCATTACACAAGTGAACAGCCAGCTAGTAGAGGCACGGATAGGATTTGAACCCAGGTGTGTCTCCCTGCAAATTTCATGGTTCTTCCACTTCAGTAAAGCTGCCTTCCAATAAGAATATTTTGTGATTGGGTGTGGTAGTTCATGCCTGTAATCCTAGCACTTTGGGAGGCCAAGGCAGGAGGATTGTTTGAGGCCAGGAGTTCAAGACCAGTCTGAGCAAGAGTGAGACCCCATCTCTACAAAAATTGGGAAAATTAGCCGGACCTGTTGGTGCGCACCTGTAGTCCCAGCCACTCAGGAGGCTGAGGCGCGGGGATCGCTTGAGACCAGAAGTTTGAGGTTGCAATCACTCCTCTCTAGCCTGGTGACAGAGCAAGACCTTGTCTAAAAAGAAAAAAAGAATCTTGCATAGTGTGGTGCTTTATATTTAATCCTTTTGTGAATCCTCATTCATCAAAATAGCCTTATGACTGAGGTAGAAGAGATGCTGTCTCCATTTTAACAGGTGAGAAATTTGAGATGTTGAGTTTGTGGTTGATCCAGGCCAGCCCGAGACAGGGTGGACTGGGATCCGGCCTTTTTTTATTTCTAGTTTGGTGTCTTAATATTTAGCACCTAGAAATTTTTACATGAAAGTTGAAAAATTTGAGTAGTAATTTGAGAAATTAATATTTTTCCAGACATTATTTCTTGCCTCTTTTCTATGATTATAGCATGGACTAACAAGGTTATTCTTTTTGCCATGCATTAGTGTTCTTGTTCTGTGCAGGAGAGGGACAATGTGGGAACTTAAGTGCTGAGTGATAATAAAAGCTGATATTCTCCCCATCTGTCAATATGGTAAAGATCAGAATGGAAATTAAGAAAGACTTAGTTCAAGACTTTCATGACCCTTCTGGAAAATGGCTGGATTTCTGTTTGATGATTCTGATAACGATACAAACTGAAAAAATTGAGCAACTGCTGTAATTTACCCATCTTTAGCAGGGCAAGCTAACTTGCACAACTTGAGTAGTGGCTTGAATGCTAAAGGAATCTTTGAAGGTGGCTGATGGAGTTCCTAGAATGTGAGAGGAAGGTATTTTCTGGGACCAGCAGGCACAGGAAAAGAATTGAATGTATAAATGGTTTTCCTTCCTTTTGGAGTCCCAGTGCACTATTACACTTAACATCTTTCATTATCGTTTTAGATTTATATCCAGTAACTGACATGGAATTTCAAAGTAATTGGAGTTGAGCAAGGTGTCATTTGGGCCTTCCAATGTTTGTGCCATGGTTAGTGCTTTATGCAAGGTAGCAGGCCAGTTGTGGAGTTACTTGCAAGTGATGCTTTCTCTCAAAAGTCTGTGAAAGGCAGTACGGTCATTTTTGTGTTTCCTTTGAACTACTAGAGCTATTAAACATTCGTAAGAATATAAAAATGAGAAATTGGGAGGGGCGATTGAATGCTGGCCAGCTCAAGTGGCTGAACCATTTTTGTCCTTAATCTTCTATCTGAAGAGAATTATGAAAACTAAGCTTTGACAGATCTCTCCTAGGGTTTGGTTGTTGTTTTGAAGCACAAACAATGGAGATAAATTTGAGGTAAATTTTAGTAAAATAGTAAAAAGGAAGAGTTTGAAATGCTTACAGTTGTCAGATTAGATCTGATTGGGATAGAAAAAGGAAAAGATTAGGATTGGGCAGCTCTTTTTATAATGGAATTACTGTAAAGAAAAAGTGACTCTTGGTAAAAATGGAAGATGCATATGAAAAGTAGAAAAAAGTCCCTTTCTATGGCTCAGATGGAAAAAAAATAAAGCCACTGCTGCTTTGAGGAAAGCTACAGTGTGAGTAAGTGCTCCAACTTGATGTTAGCCATTTGCTCGGTAATATCATTTGATGTGTTGTCTTTTTTCCTCCTACTCCCCAAGTCATAAGATCTAATTGTCTCATAAAATGCTTCTAATGAATTCTTTTCCACATGGCTTAGAGGTGAATGAAGTTAACTTCCTGTTAACTTCTTCAGGATATATTTTGGGTGGGTGCCCTCTTTTGCCAAGTCTGTTTTTGTGAGTAGAAATTAAATGCAGTTTCTGTGCTGTTGCTTTAACTTTCAGTATCTTTCATTGTCAGTGAATGGAAGTCTCTTTCCAACTTGATGCTTAAGAGGTGGTGGGCATTTCTGTGAATTCCTGTACTTGCTAGTCCCTTTCTTCCCATTAGTTAATTTGTAGGGCCATTCTGAGAATGCCTGTTTTTTTTGTTTTTTGTTTTTTTTTTGAGACAGAGTCTCACTCTGTTTCCTGGGCTAGAGTGCCATGGCGTCAGCCTAGCTCACGGGAACCTCAAATTCCTGGGCTCAAGCAATCTTTCTGCCTCAGCCTCCTCAGTAGCTGGAACTACAGGCATGCACCACCATGCCTGGCTAATTTTTTCTATATATTTTTAGTTGGCTAATTAATTTCTTTCTATTTTTAGTAGAGACGGGGGTCTCGCTTTTGCTCAGGCTGGTTTCCAACTCCTGACCTTGAGTGATCCGCTGGCCTCGGCCTCCCAGAATGCTAGGATTATAGGCGTGAGCCACCTCGCCCGGCCCTTGTTTTTTGTTTTTAATAAGGAGATGCATGTCTGAAGCACTGGAAAGCTAATTAAAGTTAATAATGATAATTTATTGTGTAGCATTTGACAGTTTAAAAAATTGTCTCTCATTTGTTTGATACTTTTAGGAGCCAACTGATGTATGTAGCACAGTTATGTCAATTTTACCAAGACATGAGGAAGCAGAGGCCCAGAGGAAATAAGTTACTCACTTGAGGTCACATAGTTCAACCGTCATTCAATAAACATTTATTATGTTCCCAGTAGGTGACTGACTATACTCTACTAGGCACCAGCACATCCAATGTGACAAAGCCCTGCACAGCCAAGAGTCAAACCACAACTGGTTTGGTGAAAATGCAATCATCTGTAAAAATTGTGAAATGGCTGGTGGACTGCCAGGGTTACACTGCCACAGTATTTTCACACAGAAGTTAGGTTAAAGATAACTAAGAATAGGAGAAAATACGTTTATCCTTCCTTTATTTGTTGAACATTGTGTTAGGAGTTCTCAAAGCTGGCTAAACATTAGAATCACCTGTAAAACTTTTTTAAAAAGGTATATTGGTGAAAAGACAACTAGAAATTTAAACTTAAAAGAAAAAGTAAATTTACAGTAGTATCAAAAAGCAATAAATATTTAGGGATAATTATAATGGGATATGGAAAGACCTCTACAGAGAAAACTATATATGTCAACATTCTTGAGATAAATTGAGAAACTTAATAAATAGAAGAATATCTCAGATTCATAGATTATAAAATTCTATGTTTTAAAGATATTTCTCCCTAAATGATACATTCAGGGCCATCCCAATCAAAAGCCCAGCAGGCTTTTATTTAATGGATATTGACAAACTGATTTCTAAAGTTTAT